TTCATAATTTTATAATAATGCCCTGATTTATCCACCCCCGACCCAGTGTTACAGTTTTATAATAATGGTCATTATATATTTTATAATCATTTTATAATAATGCCCTGATTTATCCACCCCCTGACCCAGTGTTACAGTTTTATAATAATGTCCATTATATATTTTATAATCATTTTATAATCATTTTATAATAATGCCCTGATTCCCACCCCCCGACCCGGTGTAACAGTTTTATAATAATGTCCCTTCCATCCCTGATTTATCCACCCCCTGACCCAGTGTTACAGTTTTATAATAATGTCCCTCCAATCCCTGATTTATCCACCCCCTGACCCAGTGTTACAGTTTTATAATAATGTCCATTATATATTCTATAATAATTTTATAATTTTATAATAATGCCCTGATTTATCCACCCCTGACCCAGTGTTACAGTTTTATAATAATGTCCCTCCAATCCCTGATTTATCCACCCCCCGACCTTCTCCCTGTTCCACCCTCCAACCCCCCCTTCAGGAATTGAGTTGGGGGGGTGTTTTGGGCCCCTTTCTTCCTCATCTTCATCTTTTTCAGGGCACACTGTCCTTGCAGCTTGTCCAAAGTTCTGGGGGATACCTGGTGGTCTGGTGATTTGGACCACACCCTTCAGGAGTTGGGATTTTGGGACTGGGGGGATTTTTGGCGTGGTCTGGGCAGGGCCAGGGCTTGGACTGGGAGGTCCTCGTGGGTCCCTTCCAACTCAGCAGATGGTTTTTTTCTCTGTGATTCTGTGGTTAATCTTAAAAATGCCCATTTCTGGAAGGCAAACACCAGACCTGAGATACTCGTGGAAATTTCTACAGGAAAGGGGAAAAAGTATCTCCAGTTTGTGCTGTAGCCCGTAACAGAACCCAGTTAATCCCTCCTAATGCACCACTGCTCTGAGGTTTCTCTCCTTGGAGGATCCCAGAAAGGGTCCATGGACATTTTTCCCATCAGGAAATGCCAACTCAGCCAGGACATGACACCTTGTGGTGGCACTTGCAGAGGAAAATCCCCTAAACCAGCTCTGCCCTCCTCGTCCCTCCAGCCTTAAATCAAAACTGTCCTTTCAGCCCTTTGAGGAGAGGGGACCTTTGAGCTGGAAGGTTGACTTGGAGATGCCCAGATCCCCTCGCAGCCCTACCTGGGCACCTGTTCTGCTTGCCCAGGTGTGATCCAGCAGCTTTTTCCCCTCCATCCCTGCAGGTACGAGGAGGAGATCAACCGGCGCACGGCGGCCGAGAACGAGTTCGTGGTGCTCAAGAAGGTGGGTGAGACGGGAGGGGTCGGGATGCTGAGCCCACCCCAGCCCTGGGAATGTCCCAAGGCTTGGGAGATCTTGTGGAGCTGTGTCCTGGTCCTTGGGAAGGGCTTTAAACCCCCACTGAGATCGTGGTTTTGGGGGAAAGGAATGGAAGGGGCTGAGGGGTGGCCGAAAATCTCCTCCTGCTCCTGTCCCACCACACACCCGGGGCTCACCTGGGCAAGAACAGGCTGTGGGGAGACAAAGGGGGGCCAGAAGCGCCAGGAACTCCAGGTGCCGAGGCCAAACAGCTGGGATTTCTCTCCTTATCCCCTTCCCAATCCCACTTTTTTGGGGCAAGAGCTGCCCCTCTCCCCAGTGCTCTGTGCCGAGCCCGGCTGCTCCCCCAACCATTCCATGATTCCGTGACTGCCGAGCCAAAGCGCCTCTTCTGGGGTGAGAGGAGGCTCCAGACGCCCCCGTGGCTGCTCTTTTGCAGGACGTGGACGCTGCCTACATGACCAAGGTGGAGCTGGAGGCCAAGGTGGACGCGCTGAGCGACGAACTCAACTTCCTGCGCGCCCTCTACGAGGCGGTACCGACACACCCCAAATCCCTGTCCCGGTGTCACCCCCGACCGGGGACCGCCCAGAGGGAAGGAGGGGAGTGATTCCCACGTGTTTCCCTGCAGGAGCTGGCCCAGCTCAGCGCCCAAGTGTCCGACACGGCCGTCATCCTGTCCATGGACAACAACCGCGACCTGGACCTGAGCAGCATCATCGCCGAGGTCAAGGCCCAGTACGAGGACATCGCCAACCGCAGCCGCGCCGAGGCCGAGGCCTGGTACCAGACCAAGGTGAAGGGCCCCGGAATCCCACGGGAAATCATGGAATGGGGCTGTTGGAGCCACGGCTTGGCCCCTGGGACACCCCAGAGAGTTCATTCGCCCTTCTGCCCCTCAGTGTGAGGGGTTTGATTCCCTTGGGATGCCCCAGAGGGTTCACTTTCCCTTCTGCCCCTCAGTGTGAGGGGTTTCATTCCCTTGGGACGCCCCAGAGGGTTCACTTTCCCTTCTGCCCCTCAATTTGTGGGGTTTCAGTCCCTTGGGACATCCCAGAGGGTTCACTTTCCCTTCTACCCCTCAGTGTGTGATGGGTTTCAGTGAACTGGGAAACTCCAGAGGGTTCATTCTCCCTTCTGCCCCTCAGTGTGAGAGGTTTCAGTGAATTGGGACACTCCAGAGGGTTCATTCTCCCTTCTACCCCTCAATTTGAGGGGTTTCAGTGAATTGGGACACTCCAGAGGGTTCATTCTCCCTTCTACCCCTCAATTTGAGGGGTTTTAGTCCCTTAGGACACCCCAGAGGGTTCACTTTCCCTTCTACCCCTCAGTGTGAGGGGTTTCAGTGAATTGGGACACCCTGGAGGGTTCATTCTCCCTCCTACCCCTCAGTTTGAGGGATTTCAGTGAATTGGGACACCCCAGAGAGTTCATTCTCCCTTCTGCCCCTCAGTTTGAGGGGGTCAGTGAATTGGGACATCCCAGAGGGTTCATTTTTCCTCCTGCCCCTCAGTGTGAGGGGTTTCAGTCCCTTGGGATGCCCCAGAGGGTTCATTCTCCCTTCTGCCCCTCAGTTTGAGGGGTTTCAGTGAATTGGGACATCCCAGAGGATTCACTTGTCCTTCTGCCCCTCAGTGTGAGGGGTTTCAGTGAATTTGGACACCCCAGAGGGTTCACTTTTACTTCTGCCCCTCAGTTTGAAGGGTTTCAGTGAATTGGGGCACTCCAGAGGGTTCATTCTCCTTTCTGCCCCTCAGTTTGAGGGGTTTCAGCCCCTTAGGACATCCTAGAGGGTTCATTCTCCCTTCTGCCCCCCAGTCTGAGAAGCTTCAGTCCCTTGGGATGCCCCAGAGGGTTCATTCTGCCTTCCACCCCTCAGTTTGAAGGGTTTTAGTCCCTTGGGACACCCCAGAGGGTTCATTCACCCTTCTGCCCCTCAGTTTGAGGGGTTTCAGTGAACTGGGACACCCCAGAGGGTTCATTCTCCCTTCTGCCCCTCAATTTGAGGGGTTTCAGTCCCCTGGGACACCCCAGAGGGTTCACTTTCCCTTCTGCCCCTCAGTTTGAAGTGTTTCAGTGAACTGGGACACCCCACAGGGTTCATTCTCCCTTCTGCCCCTCAGTGTGAGGGGTTTTAGTCCCCTGGGACACCCCAGAGGGTTCACTTTCCCTCCTGCCCCTCAGTTCGAGGAGCTGCAGGCCACGGCGGGCAGACACGGCGACGACCTGCGCAACACCAAGGGGGAGATCTCGGAGCTCAACCGGCTCATCCAGAGGATCCGCTCCGAGATCGAGAACACCCGGAACCAGGTAGGGACGGGCTGGAGGAGCCCGGGGAGCCCCGTTCGGTGCTGCCTCAGCTCTGCTTTGCTGCTCAGGGGCTTTAACAGCCTCACTGGAGCGTTGAACTCCCTCCTGGAAAGGGCTCCAGGCTCTCAAATTCCATTTTTGAGCCGTCGTTGCCGGGCTGGCGTTCCAGCTCCAGCCGGGGGTGGAGGAGCTCGGGAGTAGCTCATTCCATGAACATCCCAGGAAACCAGAGGGGTTTTCTCCCTTGGGGGACCGTCCCCCCCGAGGGCAGAGCAGCGTTGGGAGCCCAGCCCTGCCTTGCAGTGTGCCACCATCCAGACGGCCATCGGGGACTCCGAGGAGCGCGGGGAGCTGGCCCTCAAGGACGCCAAGGCCAAGGTGATGGACCTGGAGGACGCCCTGCAGAAGGCGAAGGCCGACATGGCCCGGCAGCTCCGGGAATACCAGGAGCTCATGAACGTCAAGCTGGCCCTGGACATCGAGATCGCGACCTACAGGAAGCTGCTGGAAGGGGAGGAGAGCAGGTGGGGGCAGAATCCCTTCGGGAATTCGGCAGCTCTCGGTTTTCCCTGGTCAGGGGTTGGTTCCTCTGCCTGTGTCCTAAATTTGGCTCTGATCTGCTCCTCATCTGCTCCCCAACAGGCTCAGCGGGGAGGGACTGAACCCCATCAGCTACTGTGAGTGTCCCGGGGCTCCATCCCCCGTCCTGCTTCGGGAGGAGGGGCTGGGAGGGACCTTGGGAAAAGGGAGGGGTTGCCCCAAATCGGACATTCAGAGCCCTCCACCCTCAGCAGGGGCTCACACAGGGCGTGGGAGTTGGGGTCAGGTCCTGGGGGTGAAGGTCCTGCCTGGAAATGGGGGATTGCCCAGGGGCTGCTCCACCCCTGGGAGTGTCCAGGGACAGGTTGGAGCAACCTGGGATAGTGGGAGGTGTCCCTGCCCAGGGCAGGGGTGGGATGGGATGGGATGGGATGAGTGTGTGTGTCAGCCTGGAGAAGAAAAGACTCCAGAGAGGCCTTGGAGCCCCTTCCAGTGCCTGAAGGGGTTCCAAGGAGAGCTGGGGACAGGGGCTCCAGGGACCTGGGACAAGGGCTGGAGGGACAGCACACAGGGAATGGCTTCCCACTGCCAGAGGGCAGGATTAGATGGGATATTGGGAAGGAATTCCTCCCTGTGAAGGTGATGAGGCCCTGGAATGGATTTCCCAGAGGCTGCCCCTGGATCCCTGGGAGCGTCCAAGGCCGGGTTGGATCCACCTGGGATAGCGGGAGGTGTCCCTGCCCAGGGCAGAGGTGGGATGGGAGGAGCTTTAAGGTCCCTTCCAATGCAACCATTCCATGATTCCATGACTGCCAGCAGGTGTCCAACCCTCTGGTTTCCTCTCCTTGCAGCTGTGATCAGCTCCAGCTCCGGCCTGGCCGGCGGGGCCGGCTTGGGAGGAGGATTTGGTGGACTGAGCCTGAGCGGAGGCGGCGGGAGCGGTTTCGGCCTCGGAGGAGGAGGTGGAAGCGGGTTTGGCCTTGGAGGAGGAGGTGGAAGTGGTTTTGGCCTTGGAGGAGGAGGTGGAAGTGGTTTTGGCCTCGGAGGAGGAGGTGGAAGCAGCTTCGGCCTCGGAGGAGGCGGCGGGAGCGGTTTCGGTCTCGGAGGAGGAGGAGGAGGAGGAGGAGGAGGAGGAGGAGGAAGCTACAGCTTTGGAAGTGGAGGAGGACTTGGACTCGGGGGTGGAGGTGGTCTCGGAGGTGGATTTGGAGGCGGCCATGGAGCAGGAGGTGGCAGCAGCAGCCTGAGCACCAGCGGGGGCAACTTCAGCTCCGGGAGCGCCAAAGGCACCAACCCCGGGGTGAAAATCGTCTCCAAAACCTCCTCCAGCAAAAAGAGCATCAAGAGCCAGAGCCTGAAGAACGCCACAGAGCCCGAGTAGAACCCAGCCTGGCCCCTTCCCAGACCATCCTCCTGCTCCTGCCCCTCCTGCCCCTGTCCTGCCCCTCCATCCCCTTGCCTGCCCTGGCCCAGCTCCGCGGTTCTCACACCTCCGGATCACAGGCCAAGGAAAACACCTCAGCCGGAGCTCCCCGAGCCCTTGAAATGGGATTTAAAGGAAAACATGGGCCTAAGGGACTGTTCCAAAGGGGAATTGGTTTGTTTTTCTGTTTGTTTCTTTTTAATGAGGCCGAGAAGTTTGTAATTGTGGCCACCCAGCAGCCTCAGCAGAGACAGCGGAGAGCAGAGAGCGAGGAGACAACAAGTGGGGTTTTAGCTCAGTTCTGCTCCCCAGAAGCCCAGGGATGGGCTGGGAACGTGGTTTTAACTCCCCCTGCACCGCTGGGATGATCCCAACTCGCTCCTCCACGTTCAGGAACTCCCCTTTGCCGGGGATGGGGGTTATTTTTCTGCTGTGTAGAAACACCCCGGGAGGCTCCCGAGAGACCCCAGGCACCGGTTTGTGAGCGTGAGGCCCCTCTTCAAAACATCCCTCATTCTGGGAGCACAGGGCCTGCTGGGAGCCACTCCAGCGGGATGGAAAATCCCTCTTTTCCCCATTCACAGCCAGAGTTGGAAAACCAGGATCAACCAGGATCCTCCAGGCCCACGAGCCCGGCCGGGGGTTCAGGGTGATAAAATCAGGGAGCAGCCTGAGGTGCCTCCACCTGAAAAGTACCACCCTCGGGGGGGGGGGGGTGATTCGAGTTGCCACGAGCTCATCCAAAGGCTTTTCCCACATTTCTCTCCCATTCCTGTCCTGGGCACCTCCCACGTGACCTCCTGGATGTGCTTTGCCGGAGGGTTCAGCGGTGGCTGATCCCAAACTTATGGAAAAGGGCTCGTTTTCCAAACTGTAGGATTTTTCAAATTCTAAAGGATGTGTGAGACAAAGAGTCCTTCGAAAGCAAGGGCAGTGTTTGTAGAATTGGGTTTCTGTCCCGTCTCGTGCGGGGTTTTTTTGCTGGAATGGCTCAAAAAATTCCCAGATCATCTCAAAAAATTCCCAGATCATCCAACAGTCCAAGTCCTGCCGCCCTTTCCCGCTGCCTTTGGTCGAGGTGAAAGTCTGAGCCGGTGGAAATCACCGTGGAAAAGCTGCCTGAAGGGCCTGGTCCACCTCTCCTGGGGGAATTCCAACTTCTCCCCCACGTCTGGGCTCCTCTGCCAAAGGAGAGACCTTTGGGAAACTGGGAAGTGCAGCAGGTGGGAAACAAGGCAATGAGGAGCAGGATCCCAGCGGAACCCCGGAGCCCCAAATCTGATTTCCCCTCTCCTGATGGAATTTACCCCTCTGACCTCCCACCATCTCTTCTTGATTTTTGGAAAGTCCCGTTAAAAAAGTAAAAATTGCAGCTTTTGATACTTCCATGGTGTTTTCCTTCCCCTCTCTCTTTTTTTGGGAACGTGTCCAATAAAACCGGATTGTAATTTATCTGTTCTTTTTGTTTGCACTTTTATTTACCTTTTTTATATTCTAAACCAGAACCAGCAGCATGAAAACATCATTCCCAACCTTCAGCAGAGCGAGCCTGGAGGGTCACTTCACTTTGAGGGGAAAGCTTTAAATTCGGATAAAATCATCACAAAAATGTGGAAATTGGTTGTTTATCCCAAAATAAATTGAGGAATTGGAGGAAACAGGAGAAGGAGGAAAAGGAGGATGAGGACAAGAAAGAGAAGGAGGAGGAGGAGGAGAAGGGAAGGAGAAGAAGAAGGAGGAAGAGGATGAGGAGGAGGAGGAGAAAGAGAAGGAGGAGGAGGAAGAGGATGAGGAGGAGGAAGAGGAAGAGAAGGAGGAGGAGGAGGAGAAGGAGAAGGAGAAGGAGAAGGAGAAGGAGATCTTTCTATGGACTGAGGAGATCCCCTCTCCAGACTAACCAGGCCCAGATCCCACAGTCCCTCCTCTTCAGGAAGATGCTCCAGAACCTTCCTCATCTTTGTGGGCTTCTTCTGAACCCTCTCCAGGTGTTCCTTGTCCTTCTTGAACTGTGGAGGCCAGAGTTGAACACAACACACCGGGGCCAAGGAGAGGGGCAGGATCCCCTCCCTGACCTGCTGGTCACGTTCTTCCCAAATGGAATCCCACGATCCCGCTGCCCTCCTGGGCACACAGCTGGCTCCTGGGCAGCTTGTCACCCTCCAAACCCCCTTGCCTGCCCAGAGGAGGTTTCAGACAGACCAAAAAAATGTCAGGGAGGGTTAAAAATGGACTCTGAGTGCCCTGGATTTCTGTGTGAATCGCCCGGGACGGGCGTGAGAATTTAAGGCAGCTCGGGATCCCCAACCTTGACCAACCTGGAGAGGGTTGGACGTCCTAATTCCAGCCCCTGCTGCGATAAAAAGCCAGCCAGATTCCCAAGTGGAGCTCTCAGGCAGCTGAGCTGCTGCAAACGCTCGGTCCCTCCTCCCTTGGCTCTGCTCCCTCCCCGGCAGCGCCCTCACCCCCCTGTGCCCCCTCCACGGCAAATCCCACCTCTCCAAAGGGAACTGTCCCACCTGGGGGGGGCAACACGTCCCACCCGCAGCCCCGAGCACCTTCACTTGGTGTGAGCGGCACAAACCAGGCGAGGAGACGCCGTGGGATGAGAGATCCCGCAGGAATTCCCGGGGTTTGGTGCCGGAGCCACCCCCTGCTTTGCTCTCCCGACCCCTCTGTGACATCCCCCCAAATTCCGTGGTCTGCAGCACGAGGCTTTCCTGGGAGAGCCGGGGAGGTGACCACGGCCTTCCTCGCCCGGGGATCCTTTCTCCTGCTTTAATTAAACCCTTCCCAGGCCCCGCTCGGTTTCCCGGGGGTGGCTTTGCCCGGAGAGCTCCGGGCAGCCCAAGGCAGGTCCCTGCCCGACCCCCATCCAAGGATCCCGGCGGGATGAGCCGATCCACGGGCGCCGGGGATCAAATCCCCAGGGTTCTGCCGCGCTTGGAACCGGACTGATTCATTTCCAGCATCAGTATTTTTATTTTTAACGGCGTCATCGAGGGGAAACGGCGGCTCGCCGGTTTCGGGTGGAGTTTTTTCCCCCGCGGAGCCGCTTTTCCAGCAGCCGGGATGTTCCCACATCCCCACCGCCGGGGCGAGAGCACCCCCTTGCTACCGGCCCCGTCTCCCTTTTCCAGCGGGACGGGCCCATCCCGGGATGGGCTCCGATGGGCGCCGCGGGGCCGCTGAGTCACCGCTGGCGATCGCGGGGAGCGCTCGGGGAGCCGGGATTTGGGAGCGTTCGCCGATCGCGGCGGGGCAAAACCCGACAGAACCCGACCAAACCCGACCCTGCCCAGCCCAGCCCCTGCCGCTCAGGTCCTTTCAAGTTCCCAGACTGGAAAAAAAAACACGGCGGGGGTTGGAAACGCATCAACACAAACAAGCTCCGAGACGCAGCCGATCCCCTTGAGCTGCTCCTTTTTGGAGCGCTTATTGCTCACGTCGGTGAATTTGGGAGGGGTTTTTTTTTATTGCTCACGTCGGTAAATTTGGGAGATTTTTTTTTATTGCTCACGTCGGTGAATTCGGGAGATTTTTTTTTTTATTGCTCACGTCGGTGAATTCGGGAGATTTTTTTTTGTTGCTCACGTTGCTTAATTTGGGTGGGTTTCTTTTTTATTGCTCACGTTGCTGAATTTGGGAGGGTTTCTTTTTTACTGTTCACATTGGTGAATTTTGGAGATTTTTATTTTTATTGCTCTCGTTGGTGAATTTGGGAGGGTTTCTTTTTTATTGCTCACGTTGCTGATTTTGGGAGATTTTTATTTTTATTGCTCTCGTTGGTGAATTTGGGAGGGTTTCTTTTTTACTGCTCACATTGGTGAATTTGGGAGAGGTTTTTTTTTTATTGCTCACATCGGTGAATTTGGGAGATTTTTGTTGCCCGTGCAGATGAATTTGAGGATTAGTTTTTGGTTTGGGAGCTCAGGGTTTCATCCCTCAGCCCGTTGCTATTTTATCACCCGGCCAAGGTGGGAAGAATCCGGTTCACTGGAATATTTTGGGAGGTGTTTTGGGTGGGAGCGAGGGGGAATCTTCCTTGTGTCCCATATCCAGCTGTTCACGGATCCAGGAGAAGGATCCCCAGCTCTCACCCCGTCCCAAAGCACGACCCAGACTCACTGGGGGGGTTCAAGCTCCTCCACGAGGGTTCACCCCGGGCCAAGATCAAGAGGCAAAAGTTGTTTTAGAAACATTTTCCAGCGCTGACGTGGGAACTGTTGGATAAATACTGAGGGGGGGGGGCGGAAAAAAGTGATAAAAATCCCACTTCAGAGGGAGCTTTTGAACCCTGAGCCTGACAGGGAGAACCTACAGAGCAACAATCCCTCCAAGCAGCTTTTTACTGCCTGTTTTATGAGTCTCGTGGTGTTGTTTAATCTAATTTGAAGTGATTCTGGAAAAGGGATTCGCCTGCTGCCTTTCAAAGTCGTGATAACCAATTCTCCAGTTTCCCCTGCAACGAGGGGTGAGGATTTCTTGGGAAGGTCCCAGAAAATAGTGCCAGGAGGCAGCTTCCACTCAGCTCATCTCTTCAAACCTGCGACCGTTTAGATCCCCCAAAAAACAGAATCTGATTTTTCCATTTGATTTTCCAAAAAAGAAAAAAAAATCAAACCATCTGCTCTGACCATCCAAACTACCTTCACACCCAACTTCCCAAGCCAACAACAGGAGACCCACGTCCAGCCCCAGAGCTGGAAACTTTGGAAAAGCCCCGATTTCTGCCGCTTACGAAACGTGTCCAACCCCAAAACCCAACTTGCAAAACCTTCAGTGAATTAATCCCTCGGTTTACCCTATAAAAAGGGGAGATGTAAAAAGGGGAGATGATTTCTTGGGAAGATCCCAGAAAATAGTGCCAGGAGGCAACTCCCACTCCGCTCATCCCCTCCAGCCCGTGACCGCTCGGATCCAAAAAAAAACCCAAAAAAATCAAATCTGATTTTTCCATTTGATTTTCCCAAACCAAATCAAACCATCTGCTCTGACCATCCAAACCACCTTCACACCCAGCTTCCCAAGCCAACAACAGGAGACCCACATCCAGCCCCGGAGCTGGAAACCTTGGAAAAGCCCCGATTTCTGCCGCTTACGAAACGTGTCCAACCCCAAAACCCCACTTGCAAAACCTTCGGGGCGAGGGATCTTGCTCAAGCGAGCGAGCCCTTGAGGGAAAGCGGCTCCCAGGGTCCCGGGAATCGTGTTGGATCCTGCCCCCGGTCCCATTCAATTCTAATTCCATGACTCAGAGGCGCTGGGGGGGTGGGGAGCTCCCTCTGCCCGTTACTTCCCTGCCTGCAAACAATGCATTTTTCAGCGCCTCCCGCAGCCGAGGTGTGTTGGACAAGGCAAGTCGCTGCAAGGCACATCAAGTCCCGAATCCCCGTGCCAAGTTTTCCAAGCAGATAAAAGAGGAGGCTCCCGAGCTCTCCCATCACAGGGTTTTCTGCCTCCCTCGCCCTCTGCTCTTTTCCTGCCGCGCAGCTTCGGTTCTCCGGCCCTTTTTTTCCCCTGCTCTTTGCGCCCGCAGCCACCATGAGCCGGATCTCTTTCCGATCATCCACCGGAGGGGGCATGAGGGGCTTCAGCTCGGGCTCTGCCATCGTGGGAGGCGGTGGCGGGGGCACCAGGAGCAGCTTCAGCTCCGTCTCCGTCTCCAGAGTCGGGGGAGGAAGAGCCGGAGGCGGAGGAGGCTTCGGAGCCGGCGGTGGCTTCGGCAGCAGGAGCCTCTACAACATGGGTGGAAGCAAAAGGATCTCCATCGGGGGTCTCCGGAGCGGAGCCGGTGGCGGATTCGGCTTCGGCGGCGGCGCCGGCTTCGGGCTGGGCTATGGCGGCGGTGGAGCCGCTTTCGGCCTGGGAGGAGCCGGTGCCGGTGGCGGTTACGGGCTGGGAAGCGGATTCGGGCTGGGAGGTCCCGGATTCGGCGGCCGAGGCGGCCCCGGGTTCCCCGTGTGCCCCCCCGGCGGCATCCACGAGGTGACGGTGAACCAGAGCCTGCTGGCCCCCCTGAAGCTCGACATCGACCCCGAGATCCAGAAGGTGCGGACGCAGGAGCGGGAGCAGATCAAGACCCTCAACAACAAATTCGCCTCCTTCATCGACAAGGTGAGAGCTCGCTGCTGCCCGGCGGGACGGGCTGGTTTTCGGCCGCCTCGGGAAAAAAACTTCAGGAAGAAACTTCCCTTGGATCCGGGGACTTGCCTGGACGGATCCCGGCCGGCAAACGGCGGGGCTTGGCTGGAAACTAAAGACCCGTTTGATGTTTCCTCTCGGCGAGGATGAGCTTCTCAGCACCTTCCTTTCATTGGCACAGTAATTCCCCCTTCTCCCCGTAAAAACACGTCCCCGGGGGTTGGATGGATCTTCTCCTGGTTGTAAAATTCCAGCAATGGAATAACACCAGCTCTACGGTGGGATAACACCAGTAAGGTGGGCTGAGCATCCGGTGAGGGGAGAAACACCTAAAATCACAAATACGGGTGTTTGGCCTGATCTAAACTCCGCAAAAGTTCCCTCTAAACATCTCCAGAGGCTTCTGGTACTGCTGAGAATCCAAAATAAGGATGTTCCCAATAATTTTGGCCGGATTGTCCCTGTGTCCCTTGACCTTCCAACACCATCAGAGGTGTTGATGATCCCACCTTTTCCCGGCTGTCGAGGTTGGGGGGGGGTGTTTTGGTGCCTTGGGTTTCGACAACACGTCCCTGTGACCCTTTGGTTTTTGTCCCTCGCCAGGTTCGCTTTTTGGAGCAGCAGAACAAGGTGCTGGAGACCAAGTGGAGCCTCCTCCAGGAGCAGGGGCACACGGTCACCAGGAAGTCCCTGGAGCCCCTGTTCGAAGCCTACATCGGCAACCTGCGGAGGCAGCTCGACAGCCTGATGGGCGAGCGGGGCCGCCTGGACTCCGAGCTCAGGAACATGCAGGACATGGTGGAGGACTTCAAGAACAAGTAAGGGATCGTGTTGGGCAGCAGGAACAACCCCGGGCAGGAAAAGCCGGGCGGGCGGTTCCCTCCCTCCCGCCCGTTTCACACCTCGGCTTCGCGCCGGGTTTTCCTCTTCCCTGGGCTCGGGTTTAATAAATCCAACCCCTAGTCAGGCAGATTTGTGAAGTGTTTAGCACAGGATTCATGGGAAACTGGGTCTGACCCCTGGAGTGTCCCAAAATAACACTCCTGGGCACAGAGAAATGAGTGAATCCGCAGGATAAAGGGCAGGCAGGGAGGGAGTGGAACGCAGCCACGAATTTCCAGCTCCCAAATGCCCCCATTCCTCATTTTGTGAAGGAAATTCCATCTTTTCCAGAGGGCCCAGCGAGCTGGGAGTGCTCAGCCTCGCTCAGCTCCCACCACCTGAGAGGTGTTCAGCTCTTGGACTTAAAAATATCCCTGGGGAGGAAATTCAGCCCCTCCTGGGACACAGTGGCCAGAGGGGGGGGGGATGAACCAGTTTCAGGACACAGCAATTGGCACCTGAAAGGGATTTGGGATGGGTTTTTTGGCAGGGTCATCATTTTTTCAGTGGGTTTTTAGGCAGGGCTGTTGGTTTGGGGTGGGTTTTAGGTGGGGCCGTTGTTTTTGTGTGGGATTTTAAGCAGGGCCACTGTTTTTTGGGTGGGATTTTAGGCAGGGCTGTTGGTTTGGGGTGGGTTTTTAGGCAGGGCCATTGGGTTTTGGGTGGGATTTTAAGCAGGGCCACTGGTTTTTGGGTGAGATTTTAGGCAGGGCTGTTGGGTTTGGGTGGGTTTTTAGGCAGGGCCGTTGGTTTGGGGTGGGTTTTTAGGCAGGGCTGTTGGTTTTTGGGTGGGTTTTTAGGCAGGGCTGTTGGTTTTTGGGTGCGTTTTTAGGCAGGGCTGTTGGGTTTTAGTTGGCTGCAGCCTGGTGAGAACAATGTCTCCCTTATTGAACCAGTCTGAGAGTCGCCCCAGAGGGCTGAAATTTGTTAATATTGGGTAATTAAGGCTGGGAAGAGCCAGATTTTTGGGAGGGGGGATGGGGAGACGGCGCTTTCATCTGTCAGGAGGGATAGACGCAGCTCCTGCTGCGGGTTTGGGGGCGTTTCAGGCCACAAAATGTGTTTCAGGCTTCCAGAAATACTGATCAGACCCCAAAAATGATGAATTCCATAGTCTGGATTTCAGAGCTGCCACCTGGGAAGGAGAAAAGAGGGAACACATTTGATTTCAAGTCTGGGGTTGGTTCCCACATTTCAGAGGTGCCACCTGGGAAAGAGAGAAGAGGGAACAGATTGGATTTCAGGTCTAGGAACAGATTGGGTTTTGGGTCTAGGAACAGATTGGATTTCAGGTCTAGGGTTCATTCCCAAGTTTCAGAGCTGCCACCTGGGAAAAAGAGAAGAGGGAACAGGTTGGATTTCAAGTCTAGGAACAGATTGGGTTTTGGGTCTAGGTTGGTTCCCACATGTCTGAGCTGCCACCTGGGAAGGAGAACACATTTTATTTCAAGTCCGGAGTTACCCAAGTCCAGAGTTCCCCTTCCACAGGCTCCATCCCGTGCCTGCTCCGAGCTCCCACCGCAGGGAACCCTCACCAGTGTTGGTTTGGGGACTGGCACGAACCTGCCCCTGAAATCCAGGCCTTTGCCTGGAGAGCCCTCGTGTTCTGTCTGCTCTCCAGCCGGCCCTGCCCTGGTTATCTGATGAGAGGACGTTGCTCAGAGCCACGAAAAGCTCGGCAGAACCCCGGGATGATCCTCCTCTTGCCCAACCCGCGTTTCATGTTTAATTAAACGCTGCGGCAGCTGATTCAGAGCCATCAGCATTATTACAATATCAAATAGCAAATGGCTCCCTCATTATGCCTTCGTGGGCTTTGTTGAAAGCCCTTTTTTTGCATAACTTTGCTCGGGGCAGAGGTCACCTGGGAGAGCTGCTCCCTCTTCCTGCCCGACCGGGCTCCACATCCGTGTCTGAGCTCGGCTTTATGGGCGGCCACTGAAAGGGGTTCATTTAAGCCGGGCCTACTCACAGGCTGCAGGTTCAAAGGCAGCAATATTCGCCCCGAGTCGGCTCGGGATGAGCGGGTGGGAGGGTGGAAGCCGGGTGGGAGGATGGAACCCGGCCGGGAGCCACAACTGAGGCTCTGGGAGCGGGGCGGGTCCAGCTCCCCGTTCCCACCACGAGCCTCCCCCTCCCTTTCATCCTGGCAGATATGAAGATGAGATCAACCGGCGCACGGGGGCCGAGAACGAGTTCGTGGTGCTCAAGAAGGTGAGGGAGCCGGGAATTGTGGGAATCAAAAGGGAATTGTGGGGATCAAAAGGGAATT